AATAGTGTACATACCACTACGGTATCCCTGACTTAATGTTTACAGCGGAAATGAGTTGGTTTTCATTGTATCTGGCAACCAGGGAAACTATTGGATACGAGCAAGGAAAACAATTCATTTGCGACACAATGTAAGTTTCTGAAGTTTAATAAAGTTCAGTTCTCAAGAAAAAGCGACTGTTGGATGAAAATTTCAGACGGCTAAAATCTGTACATATACACATACATATCTTCAGAGATCGGTTGAAAAGTCTAAGTGCATAAAAGGATCTATCATAAATGAACTTGCCAATCACTCTTCCTTTTATTTATTTATTTATTTATTTTTTTGAAAGATCCTCTTCGGTTTTTCGCACAAAAATAGAAATTATGAGAAAGATGATTTTTCAGTCGGTGACACAGGCGGCTTGGAGTAAATATTCGAGTACTCCTAATAGGAGTCGAACCATGCAATGACCTTGTGGTCACCAGACCAGATGCTTTACCATTTATCTACAAGAGAGTCGTTGGAGCTATCCTGCATAATGCTAGGACTAAAAGTCGATATGTGCTTATGCGCCGGATGTGAACTAAATTCGCCATTCGCCATGTGAATGTTACCTTTTTTCTCTCGATTACCTCTCTTTCATAATCACGGCTTTTTTACTTTAAATTCGGTTTCCACTTGCAGCAAACCAACTCAGTTGCCTTTTTGAGTGCTTGAATAATTCCCAGTACTTTTTAATCTATTTGTAGGTATCCTTTGAAGGTATCGTGGGGTCGTCTCATACGGGAGATATCGCTATCGATGACGTGACAATTTTCAGTGGAAGCTGTTATAATTCTACTGTGTTGCTGACGAATCAAAGCATTGGAGGTACTTTAATGCCCTTGTTTATTAGAATTATATAAATACTGAGGGTCGGTTATTTAAACCAGGTCTAACTTAGACTGCGGTTTGGGAACTCTTTTGACCTTCAGATCTCTGCCTTTGTGGGGTATTTTGAGACATTCATTTCTTTTCTACGCCATATGCTTTCATGAAACTGTTCACCTTAAAAGTGTATACATAAAAACTTTCGCCAAACTGAAAATGGCTTAGAACCGGGTTACGTTAAACACTGGCTAAACTCCGTTTAAATAATTAGCCCTAAGTACGTCAAATTACCGTAGTCTTGGTACTTAATTCGTTTCAAGGGGCCATGTCACAAGGAGAGCATGCGTGCTGCGATTATGTAAATTACTTACATTTGTCAAAATTCTATTGTTTTCAACGCTTGAATTTCTCTGTCAAGTACAGAGCACCGAAACTTATGCATCAGTCAATTCCAGCGGCGCCCAGTTTCCCCCTCCCCCCCCCCTCGGGCTACTGCGGAGCATTTGCCCGCCTTTTTGTCCCGGGAGTGGGGCATTTGCAAATTTTGCGCTGCCCGGGGGCCAGGCATTTGCCAACCCCGGGGTTATTCCCGAACTTTTGACACGCACGCAGTTTGCTATCAGAATATAACTACACAGAGGATATTACTGGAAAAATAGCAGATCATGTAGCTCATCTGTCAAGGACAGGGGGTTATTGTAAAGGCATGTTCTCGATTTTATGCATGCAATTCTTCATTGTCTATTAAGCCAGAATTGCATAGCGAAACTCAGGAGCTATCGACGTGAATCAACGTTTTTTGGTAAGTGAATCAAATCTCTATTGATATTATTTGAAAAACATCCTTTCATATTTAAAACCTAATCATAACATATAACTTTACACCGCCCTGTTCATTTTAATGTCAATAATTTTATATCAGTACTAAAACCATAAACTGGTGCATGTCGTCGCGGCGTGAAGTCTTAATTAGAATACAAAGGAACTGGAAGACGTTACTTGAAACAAAAAATCGCACATTAATATGTTTAAAACGGCACTATTGTTGGTTTTCACATTACGGCACTAAAATTCAAACTACAAAACTATCGATCCTACTGAAATTTTACTTTCATGATGTTTTAGAGCAGTTGAAAGCTAATTTTCGTACAAATTTTCGCTTCAAAAGAATTCTTGGTTTTGTGATAGGGTACGCTTGAATTTCTAACCTTTTGCGTGACGTGGCATCTGCATGACGGCCGAGAGAGTTGTTATGTAGGTTAAAAAAGTGGCGTATTTCGGGTAATTTTGCTATCTTAACAGTTCATGTATTAGAAAAAGTATTGCTTTAATGTTTATGAGTTCCTCGAGGAATAAATTCACGCTTTTGCACCAAAACTCGGTAACAGATGTTTGTGTTGGTTTCCGTCCGCCATGTTAGTGCTCATCCAGGTGGGCACCAGCATGGCGTCTCCATAAAAATCTCTATAAATTTGTGTAAAACATTTCTTCGGATATCTCGTATACGGAATATTCTTCTGACCTGAATGCTATTCACACAAAAAAACACGAGCTGCGAACTGTGAGCGAACAAAAATTTCAAGAACAACATATTTGCGTAATCAACATAATAAATCAAAGTTTTATTGTATAAAAAAATCTACAAAAGACTCAAGAACGTTTAAGATAAAGACCAAGATTGTTTCAAATCATTAACAATTAGACTTGTCTGTCCCTACTTATCCTTGGTTTTCACATGAAGTCACCAAAATTCAAACTAAGAAACAATCGCTCCTTCCGAGTTTCTACTTCCATGTGGTATTAGAGTACCTTAAATTTAACACATTTAACAAATTAACAAATTTTCGGTTCAAAAGGGTTCTTTGTTTTGCGATACAGGACGCTTCAATTTCCAGGCTTTTGCGTGACGCGGCATTTAGCTGGCGGCCGGAAAAGCTCTTATGTAGATCAAAAACATTACTGGTTTTTGGAGAGATTTTGCTATCTAAATATTCCTTGTCTTAGAATAAATATTGCTTTAATCTTTATGAGTTCCTCAAGCGAACAATTCACGCATAAGTAGGAAAACTCAAAAAAACGCATGATTCTGTTGGTTTCCGGCAGCCATATTTGTGCCCCTGAAAGGGACAAAACATGGCGTTTTCATACAAAGCTTTATAATTTGGGGTAAAACGTTTTCCGAATATCTCGCATATAAACTATTGCATAGACCTGATGCTTGGCAAGACTTTTTTCATATTTTTCTTCTTTCATTTCCCTGATTCTAGACTTTCTGTATCAAAAGGTTTCCATTTTTATTTCTGCTTTCCCACGTGAGTGAAAACCGATAATTTTAAAACTTTTACAGTTACGCTGACAGAACAAAAGCGACGCTGTTCGGATGTGTTTGTTTTGATCTTCGGGAAACACACATTGATCGGAGCAAATTCTTCGATTGTAGCGAATCACTGCGACGTCGAGAAAAACAGAACCAAGTACCATAGGTTTACTTTACTCCATTCTAAACAGTCCTTGAATAACGAGGGAAAGAAAACTCTGTTATTTTCAAAAAATCCGAGTAAATGTGCTCGAACACAGATAGTTCAAAAACGCGGCATTCAAAGGTCTCTACGTCCGTTTAGAACAAGTTGAACCAACAAAGGGTCGCGTTTATCCTTGCAACAAATCAAGATAAATACAAGAAGGAATCTAGCTAAATTTTATAACTTTTGGTTAGCCAAAAGTTGAGTTTAGTCAGGAAACTCATGTTACATATCCACATACTTTGAGCACAAAATAATATCCTAGAGCCAGCAGCCTCTAAAGTAACTCAAAAGAAAGGTTCTTTAGTCAGGAAACTCAATTACATATCCACATACTTTGAGCACAAAATAATATCCTAGAGCCAGCAGCCTCTAAAGTAACTCAAAAGAAAGGTTCTGTGAACTACGAGGATAGATTCCCTCTAAGATTTATCGTTCATTGTGGAGTAGCAGTCGTTAATTCTCTTTCGGCCCCTTCCGGTACAACGGCCTCTGATAAGAGGACAATGTAAATCCACGTAAGAAAAAAATTCCAAGAGCAACAAATTTCAAGAACAGCGGTAAGAAGACTTCTGTAATTGCCATAGAACGATATACTTAATACAAAACTGCGCTAACTATCAAACCATGGCTAAGATTTAAACAGATAAAAACAGCCTTCCAAAATCTCCGACAGAACTCGAAAACGTCCGGTTGCCTTTTTTGAAGATTTTTCTGTACCAGCTCGCGCATGCGCCTGGGTTGACAGAGTCCCTTTAAAGCTAAGAACAAAAGTATATTCAATAAATGAGAGGTAACGTTTTGGCTAAGTAATCAGAATCTTGATTTCCTCTTTTACAGCTTTTGACGAATGATTACTTTAGCTATATTTACTGTTCCTTTTGTTTCACGCAGGTTGTTCTGATCTCTCCCCGAACTTCTGTTCATTATTTGCTCATGGAAATTTCTGTGTGAACAGTTTTAACCTCTCTAGAAAATATTGCGAAAAAACATGTGGTTTTTGTGGAGGTATGTATTAGGGACTAACTTACCTTTAGCTGCCCTTTTTGTTTTTTAATGACCCAATTTTTCTTCTCAGTTTAAGATCATAATACTTTTAATTACTATTTGTTTTATTAATTAATTGATTGATTGATTTATTTATTCATTTTCTCTCCCTGTTTTACAGCAGGTTGTTCTGATAGACACGTTGTGTGCCCAGATCTCCCACACAGCTTTTGTTCTACTCATTTCCACTGGTCCGGGCAAAATTGTCGACGGTCTTGTGGTTTCTGCTCAGGTGAACTGATAACATTCTAGAAGTCTTTATCATGGGCGTCGACGACACGTTGTTATTTTGTTTGTTTGTTTGTTTGTTTGTTTATTCCACCTCACTGTATACTGAAGTCTGATATATTTAACAAAAAGGAAGACTCAACGAATTCCCAGAAATGCGTTTCAAATTTCCTTTCAACCTGATTGGCAAATGGACGTTGTTTTTGTTTTGTTTTTTGTTTTTTTCTTTTACAGGGCAATCATGGTGCGTACTCAAATCTGGGTACAGAGGTGGAGGGCCCAGAACAAGGATTTCGGCGCTGTTTCGTAGAGGAACTTAACAAGAGTTTATTTTCGTCTGCTAAGCAG